GATAAATACTTCATCTTTTGATTGCTTGATTTGAATTCCTAGGAAGTAACTCATCATACCTAAATCCGTCACTTCAAAATCCTCCATCATCATCTTCTTGAAAGATTTACCATTTTCTCTTAAGTTCCTATGAAGATAAGATAATCTACATAAATGCACATGACTAAGAAATCTGCTCCTTCTTTATTCACATAAAGGGAGGAATAATTTGTGCTTTGATAAAAACCATTCTTGCAAAAGTAGCCATGAATTTTGTTATTCCAAGCTCATGGAGCTTGTTTTAATCTATAAAGTGTTTTTCGAAGACGATACATTTTATCCTTCTTGCCTTTAACTTCAAAGTCTTGAGGTTGTTGTACATAGACTTCGTCTTCAATTTAACCATTAAGAAAAACTGATTTTACATCCAATTGGTATACTCGAAGTTCAATTTGAGCAGCAAGAGCAAAAACCCTATTAATAGTTTCATTCTAACCACCGGTGCAAACGTCTCAGTGAAATCAATTACGGGGTTGAGAGTAACCCTTAGAAACAAGTCTTGCCTTGTGCTTTTCAATGCTTCCATCTTCTCGAAACTTGGTCTTATAGGCCCATTTCAATCCGATCACATCCTTATGCTTTGGATGATCCACCAATTGCTTTCTGCCATACTTTTTCTTTTGCAACATCAACATAATATCTGGGGTCACAAGTAAAGAGAGAAAATCACTAAAAAAAAAAATATATCAAATTACCTACAATATTTTTAACTATGAAATAAGAAATATTTTCGTAATTAAAACGTGTTATTTAGCAACAAAAATTAATTTCATCGTTAAAAAGAAATTATGTACTACAAAATTAATTTTGTCGCTAAAATTTTTTTTGCTAGAAAATTCTATCTTCATGGCAAAAAAGTTTTAGCTACAAAATTATTTTTTATAGCTAAAATCATTTTGCTACAAAAATCGTACATATTTCGTTCCTAAAACTCTTTTGTTATAAATTTTAATTTTATAGCGAAAGAATTTTGACTACAAAATCATATTTTCGTAGCTATATCTCTATTCTTAGTTTTTTATGGCAAAAAAACTTATTTTTGTTACGAAACATATTTGTTGCCAAAGACCTTTACTGACGCGGTATAGACGACGAAATGAGTTTCGTCGAAAAAATATTTTTGCTATAAATTATTACATTTTACTACAAAATTTCTTGTAACTAAATTTCAACTTTCTTATAGTGAATTCACAATTTCCATAAAGTTCCTGCAATAAACGTGTTCGTCTTACCGGTGATTACGGACTAGAATTTGTTGCATCTTGATGAGTTGATGAAGTGTGTATTGGACTTTGAGATTGTGAGAATATGCAATGTTGCCAAAAATCTTGAAATGATTACCCACAGGTGTTTTTTCATGCCACGCTTCAAATGAAGTTCGATTTCCTACTGCCTTTGTAGGACATCAGTTCAAGAGATAGATGGTTGTGTGAAGTGCTTCAGCCTATAAGGTTTTTGGCAAGGACTTCTCAATCATCATGCCATTTGAACAATGGTTCCATTCTTTCTTTCCGCAACACCATTTTGTCGGAGGGTGAGTTGCCTTTTGAATTATGTGTTCTTCACGATACTTCATAAAAGGAGTGTAGATAAACTCCCTCCACTGTCACTCAGAAGAGATTTAATTTTCCAATCACTTAGATTTTCCACCAACACCTTGAATTTGAGAAATGTGCTTCTAATTTTTCACTAAAAAATAAACCCACATCATTTTGCTATAATCATCAATGAAAAAGAATGTTGGTCTTTTTATTATAATGGAATGAATTTTGTTATTAAACAAGATTATGCTAAATGGATAATTACAATGAAGGTTTGAGATCTAAATATAGATTACATAAGTTAGTAACCGACACATATTAAAGCCTCCTAACCATGTTATCACTACAAAAAAATAATATATTTGTAACGGAATTCCGTCCCTAAAGTTCACGTAGCTAACGTAATTCCGTTCATAATTCCGTCTCTAATGTCATTAGTAACGGAAAAAGTAGATTTAGAGACAAAAAAAATTTGTTACAAAAATGATTTTTTCTTGTAGTGTATTTAATTTTGAATTTGAATTTATATTTTAAAATTCAAAATTCAATATAAAATTTGAATTCAAAATTTCAAATTCAAAAATTCAAATTTGAGAATTTATTTATCAATTGATAAACATATTAATTCTCAACACTCCCCCTTAATGTGTCGTTGGATTCCCATAGCATCTCGAAGTTGTTGGAATCTGTGTTCAAACCCCGACACCTCCAGGTCCACCTGCCTTGTCTGACCTAGTTTAGATGGTATTAGATTTGGTTAGGGTTGCGGGTTCTCACGTCATCAAAAAGAATAAATAAATAATACCACTACTTATCATCACATAATTACTTTTACAGTTGTCCCAATAAATTTGTGTCAAAAGTAAATGAGAAGATTATTAATAGATGAAGAAGATATATAACAAGTATTTTAATACTACTTCCATATTCACTTTTGGCGTGTTGATCTTTAAATATTAATTATTATATCAAAACATGATATTTTTATTAGTGTCTCATAATATTAATATAATGATATTCGTACAAAAAATTATACAAATCCAAAAATATTTTTAATGTTAAATACAATGACGCAAAAGATAGATGTAACCCTTAGATACGAATGAAATAGGTAAAACGTTGCAAATTATAATTCAACACAATATAAAATATACAAATTATATAACATACAACACAATATATAACCCACACAACAAATATTAATATAATATATAGCATAGCACATTATATAATTACATGTAGCACAACATATGTTAATTTCAACACAAAATATAATTCACACAACACATTTTCTTATATAACATAATATATACTATCTACTTTGTAATAATATGCTAATTATTTAAAATTAATATACTAATTTGATATTGTGTTATATCCTTGTAATGAGTTGTTAATCAATTCAAATTATTTTACTTGATCAAAATCAACATATCAACGCTGTGACAGCCGCCAAAATAAAAATATCACCATATCACCATTGCAACCCTTTATTAATTGTTTGGATTTATATGTAGATTTGATCTTATTCATAGATTAGATTACTTAGATTCGAGTCTATCGAGTCTATTTTGTATTGTCTATATATAGGCTCCTTATTTTGATAATCAATAAGATAATCTCATTATTTTTTCCCAAAATTTCTAACATTAATGATGATGTTTGTTGACATGTATTTTTTTTTTTTCGGCTGCTCTAAGGGCGTGCACGGTGATGATTTATCTATAGCCGTAGAATCGTAATTAATGATCAATCTAACGGATATTAATAAACGATGCTAAAAAATTTAATTTTATTTTTGGTAATAATTTTAAATTAAGTAATTAATTTAATTTAGTTAAGAATTAACTATTACATTAATTAAAAATGTTACCATAATTAATAAAATCCCAATATAATGGATTCAAATCTTATGCGAATTTTTATAAATTACAGTAAAAATAAATTACAGTATGCTATCGGTTATATATATATATATATGCTTTACGTAATTGAAGTATATGCTTTATGTCTATACAATACATACTATGTAGTAAAATAATTTTTCATATATAAATATTATAAGCACTTTCCATATAATTAAAATATATTTTTTTATTCGGATAGCTGATGTGGGCTCCTATGTCTTCAAAAATATATATATTTTATATATATATAATTATTAGTATGTAATATATAAATTAATATCTTTAAACACTAATTATTACCGTTGCTATTATTTCACAAAATCTCACCTCTCCTCTCTTCTCCCCAGCTATCCACCATCCCTTCTTCGGTCCTTCGCCGCAATCGTCCGCTGCCATTATATATATATATATATATTCCTCGTACAATTGAGTGAGTCATACTTGAAATTGAAGTTTTCACCGCCCGTCCAATATAGTTTAAAAAAAAAAAAAAAAAAAAGAGAAGAAGAAGAGAGGATAAAGTTGCTCATGGAAAAACATGGGTTAGGACTTGGAGAAGAGGGAGGTAGAGTGAATTTCTTTGCTGATTTTTTTTTTTTTTTTTTTTTGTTTCATTAGCCAAAATAAGTTTTTTGTAGTGATTATTTTGAAACAAGTTTTGAAAATATATTTTGAAGTAAATTTACGTTATTATATATATATATGTATGATACGCTATTGACAGATTTTTATTATACTTTCGTATTTTTTTTATTGGATATTCTCCACAATTTATAATAAGTTATGCTTTTTGTATTTTATACACAAGCTATTTGTAATTTTTATATATGGTTTATTAAATAAAAATAAATGCTATAATAGATTAAACTTTATGATCCTTTGAATATCAATCAAAGAGATTGATATTGTAAATTTGAATAGAAAAATATATCATAATAATTTTAATTTAAGTAGTGATTTTAGTAAAAATATCAAATATTACATTAACTACAAATATTACCATAATTTTTTTATAAAAAAAAAATCATATTAATCATAGTTTTAATCCTTATTTAAATCTTGACCATATGACCTTGTACTATCGACAATATATACATATGCTATCCCTAATTTTATGATATGTTTTTATTCTATACGGTGTATGTTGTATAGGTAATCTATAATATTAAATTTTATATATACATTATTTATGACCAATTTTTATAAAATTGAAATATTTTTCTTATTAATTTTAATTTAAGCAATAATTTTAAGTCAGGCAAAAATTAAATATAATATTAATTGCAAATATTACTATAATTAAGAAAATCACATTAATTATGAGAATTAGAGTGTAGTCTAATGACGAGCATTCAACCTCTGGTTTTAAATTTTTTCCAAATTCTGATCATATTATATTATGTTATCAACAATATATGAACATGCTATCCGTAATTCTATAATATGTTTTTCATTATATGTTGTATATGTTGTACAGATCATTCAGAGTATACTGTTATAGTACAATATCTCATCAAAAAATGTCATCGCACTTTTGTTTTTCTACCCGTGCCCATGTCGCATCCCCTCCGTCAACCGCCAAAACCGCGTTTCCCCTTGCTCTTCCGCCATTGTTGGCCTTCCATCAATACGGTTGCTACTTCCGCGGCGGTCGCCTACCCAAAATCAATCGAACATTTCATCCTTCTTCCCATTTAATGGCGACATCGACCTAGGTTCAAAATCAACTTCGTCCAACTTGTTAGTGTGATTCTGGTGTCCGACAGTCGTTTCATTTACGATTCTCTTTCAGTTGAGTAAATTTATTTGTTGTTGGTATGTCTAAATCAAAATACATTGTCATCACAGAAAATAAATTGAACGTTGATATGTTGAAGCCCAATCCTACTATTATTCACATAGAATGATATTTTTAACGATGATAAATGCTTTCAACGTCATCGATAAATGTTATTTGTAATTGGACAATATGCTATAGCAACATGTCCACATATTTTTTTTTGACAAAATTCGCATTTATTTTACATATATGTCTAAATGCACTATGTGATCTATTAGTATAGAATACATTTGTTATCAATTGATGTAAATAGTAATTAGCTATACAAAAAGATATTTGATGCATTTCAAATTTGAAACTAAACCCAATAATAAAAAAAATTGACGATTTGCGCTAGCCAAATCAATTTTTAACATACTTTTCATATAAGCGATATATGATGTCAATCATATAAGAATATGCTATTAAAAATAATGAAATATACTGTGAAGTATATTCAGAACAATAATCTGTAAAATGTATTTATAAACTTACTCGTATTTGGTGACGATGCAAAAGCATTATAGTTGTATGTGAAAAAAGGATTGGAATGCACGTTTGATACCCCCTCTCGTGATAAATAATCGACCAATTGGAAACTTCAAAAAATTTTCTAAAAAACAAGTGGTCAACATAAAAAGAATGGTTTAGAATTTTGTGGACAATATTTTACTTCTTTCCTTATTCAAAATTAATTGCTATTAATTATATAAATCATTTTAATTATGAAGGACACATAATTACATGTTTCGGTGCTAAGCGATTTTTTTTTTTTTTCTTCCGTGCACAACACCTTCAAATTTGGCAATGATTAAATTTATTTTTTTTCACACAAAACATAACATTCATTACTAAAATTTTATTATTTTTTAAATTCTAAAACTCTTCGAAAATCTTTATCTAAACTTCAATATATTATATTCTCCCAAAATATATTTATTTTCATATAAAATATCACATCTAATCCTAACAAAAAAAAATACATTACGTATAATTCTATCTCATTAGTTCATCTTACCCAGCAGAACGTACCTATTTTGAATCAAACATTTTCGTATTCACAAGTTCTCAATGAAAAAGTACTCCACTTCTTTTAAAAATAAAAAATAAAAAATCACAATATATTTTTAAAAAAAAAACAAATTTAAAATAAAATAAAGTAATATATATATATATATAGAAAGGCTTCTCAACGATATGTATGGTAAGGCTAAAGAAAACCTGCAGAAAAAACTTGTGACTGTGTAGAGCTCCTAAAGTAAATGACTGGAAAAATAACAAACGGCAGTAGCAAAACTTACCAAGAATAATAATCTTGGAGGAGTTTGAATACGAGGCCTGCAAAATGGTGCAGGAATTTACATGTTGGCAGCAGAGCACCTCGGCGGCTTCTTGGGAGAATGAAAAATGGACGTCGGACCGAACTTTTTACTAATGGGACCGTACTCCGATCCATCATCATCGCTGTAGATATCGCCCCCCTTATCGACGACCCGGTTCTGTTTGCCGCGTCGCCGGAGGAGGTAAACGTTGAAGTAGTAGCTGACCAGAGCTTCCCGCCCTTTTTTCGGGAAGGATTTGAAAAGTTCTTTCCAGAAGTATTTTTCATCCGTCACTTGGTTCGACTCCACGACATTCTTAAACTTGTTCATGTCGGGCTCTGTCCAGGTCAGAGCCACGGACTCCCCCATGTTGTCGAATTTCCAGTTGTTGAATGCAGGGCCGAGCTCGAGCTTTAGTTTAGTCCTTTTTTCTTGGATGTGGAACCGGATACACTCGGGAGAGCTTGGGATGGAACAGCCGCACACTTCCTGCCGACCCTTTCCCATGGGATCCCTTTCAATTAATAAAGGTCGGTATTCTCCCTTCTCCAACGGCCATGTTTTGGTACCCAGCCATTTGGAATCACTTTGGTACTCGTCGGCTCCAGAGAACTCCGGAAGCTCGACTTGAAACTGTTGGCCTGTAAGTATTCGCTTTCCACGAGAAGGCTTTTCCCAAAAATTTGGAGGATTTGGGGGCTGGTCACTCTGTTTTTCGCAAGTATCCTCATTGCTCTGATGTGACGATGTTGACTCGGGAGTATGTTGCGCCTCTGGCTTACGAGAAGAATCTTTAAGCCTCCGGCTGCATCTCAACCTCCCTGAACCACATCGATCATCATCATACATGCTCGGATGCATCTTTTGCCTCTTCAGGAAGGAAAAAAAAAAACATCCTAATCAATATATTTTGCTCCAAACAAACAGAAGAAAACAGAGTCTAAAATGCACAAGGAAATAGTTACCGAGCAAATGTTTCCATCTTAGTCCTTAGGCACTTAAAATTAAAGCTTCTTCACTCATTCTCTCTAGAGACTTGTTACATATGATTATTTGCAATCATTTGTCACAAAAATTCTTCACATTGTCACAAAGCAAGGTTGAAATTGAATTTACAAGCTATAATCGACTAGAGACAAATGCTAAGTTCCTAGTTCATCTTGTCTTTGCCGAATTTGGACAATACCGACAACGCTAATGAGTGATCCACAAGAACTTTAACAAGTAACAACACTAGTGGCTAAACGTAAAACTTTTGAAGAAAATAAGCATGCAAAATTGTACATTGCTACCACACAAGCTGATGCAACAGCTCTTGCTTTATTAAATATACTTGCAAGTTGTAGCGTGCATATTTTATGCCTTGGCACACAATATTCAAGGCACTGTTTCGATTTATAGGACTACTTTTCTCGTATACTTTTTAAAAGAAACCAAAGAACATAAAATCTTCACATTTCTTCGTGTCTTGATAATTTTTGTTCTTTAATTAAAAAAATGTTTGGCATTGCCATCACAATTTATTGAATATCTTAAAGATCTAAACACAACTTGAGTGTATAAACTACTTTAAACAACTAGGTGGATTATGAGATCTAAATTTTGTAACTTTATTTTCTAGTCTTACTATATTTTTTCCTTCCAAAAAAATTTTGGATTATATTTCGAACCACGCAATACTCTGATGTTACTAAATATAACGGTTCAACAATTTTTTTAAAATAATTTTCTTATATAAAAGTGCAATGAATACTCAAAAGATTTTTTCATCGTTCAAATATATAAACGTTGAACAAATTTATACACTATAATCCTACATTTTTTTAAATTCAATATAAAGGGTTCAACAAAATATTTACAACTTAGTTTAACATATTTACCTTGTATAGTCCAACAGATTTTATATACAGTTCAACAACATGGTTTTAAGATATAGGCAACATATAATCTAAGCCCTTAAATAACAGTTACATTACCTTATCAAAAAGAATATCTCATTCAAAAAATAATATGATGCATCTTATAAACACTTAAAACATTTTATAAGAGCTATGCAAGTTTATCAAATTCTTAATGTAACATGTTATAAAAACATCTTGAAGTTTTGGATTTGTTCACTTGTGGTTAGATTTTGTATTTTGGTTATAAATTTTTATTTGAATAATATTTTTTATGCTATGTTCAATGAGAAGAAACAATGGTTTAGTTTGGTTTTTGTTCGAATTTTTTATTTGAATTCTATTTAAATAGTATTTTAATTTAATATTTTGTAAAAAAATTATTGTATTTTAATTGAAAAAAAAAATCTGAATACTAGTATTTTTGTTTGAAACAAAAAGAAAAAAAAAAAGACAAACCCAATGTTTTCTTAGTGATAATCGAGAAGATTGCATAATAAAAAAAACTAAAATAAAGCCCAATAAACAAAAGTCTTTCCCAATTTGTTTCTTACCATGCAATCTCATAGTTTTCAATAAAAGAATAAGAAACATGCATCAAATAACTATTTAGCTTAAAAAATTAAAAAAAAAAAAACTTTTACTGAGCTTTCATTTTATCTTATTGCTTCATATCTTCTTGACATTTGGATTCATTTCTTCACTTTCATTTTCTTATTCTTCCAATTCTTCTTTCTATTATACATTATTTTAGCCTCACCAACAATCTGTTATTAGCATTCATTTAGTTTTATAAATTTTCATATTTGCTATTAATCAAGACATCACATAGCTTACTTTTATCTTATGAAACTTACAAAAAATCTAAAAATATTACTTCATATATAAATTCTTATTGCACCATGGCCTCGAAAAGCTTTTGATTAACTATAACTAAGAGAGCATGTCTTCTACAACAATTTTTGTTATGAAATCGTATGGTTCCCTAATAGGCCGAATCCTTGTCAAAGAAAACAATGATATTCAAAACACAATATTTGGGAGGCAACTATACCCTTTTTCTCCAAATGAAAATGCGCTATTACCACACTAATCCTCATCTTACATCATACAATTCCGAAACCATATTATGATGCTTTAATTCATGATAACATTAACTTTATTTCTATTTTTATCTTAGTGATTTATGAGGGAATCAATAAGACATTGGGAAACCATATAAAACCATGTTTAGTTTCCAATAAAACGATCAATTTCCTAGATCAAGTTCCCAACAAACCCAAAAGCTAACTTAGCTAACTAAACATGTCCAAAATACATCCTACCATTCCAAAACTATAGTATTACGCTTTAATTCCTTATAATACAAAGGGATCACATTAACTTTATTTCTATCTTTGTCTTAATGATTTATGAGGGAATCGACAAGATATTGGAAAGGAAATCCTATAAAACCATGTTTACTTTCCAATCAAACAATCAAATTCCTAGATCAAGTTCCCCACAAACACAAATTCTAACTTAGCTAACTAAGCATGTCCAAGATACACCGTCCAACTTCGAAACCATATTATTGCGCTTCAATTCCTCATATAAAGGGATCGCATTAACTTTGTTTCTATCTTTGGCTTAATGGGTTATGAGGGAAACGAATAAGATATAGGAAAGGAAGATCATATAAAACCATGTTTAGTTTCTAGTAATTAACTAATCGATCAATTTCCTAAAACAAGTTCCCAACAAACCTAACTTAGCTAACTAAACATGTCCAAAAACATCACAACATATCTGAATCGAAAGCACCACATGTATATGCAAGCATAATTGAAATGCAGTCTAAAGTATACCTGCCAAACCGATTGATCGATCTTTTTCACAAGAACAGCCTCCCGAGCCATCAAAATCTGCTTCCATTGCACCTCACTCCCATAGCTCTTCCACTTTTGCATCTCCGGCATTGTACCGACATCCCGACTGCAAGGATCCTTGGCAACATTGTGCAGCCACTTCAGCACCCCCAAGCAACACTCACGCTTCCTCTTCCTGCACGGACCACCATCATCTTTTCCCGAACCTTCGACATCTTCCGTATGTCCCAATTTACCATCCTCATCCTTGGCATTGCCCATTTCCTCATCACCACACAGCACAACCTCCAAACCTAATTCTAAGTCATCCACAAGATTACCAAACCCCCCCTTCTCCCCGCGCCTATCCTCAACAATTTTCCTCAAAAACCTATCGAGTGTATCCAAATACTTGACGTAAACCAACTTCAAGGCGGCGCCGGCGTTTGGATCGACACCGCAGTCCGCCGCCACTGAGCTCCAGAGACGATTCTCCGACACGATGCAATACCCGCCCCTGCTTCTCACAACACAATGGAGCTTGAACAAATCGATTTCCTTACCCTGGTCGACCACCGGGGGGAGCGGCCTGTAATGAGAAATGGTAGGGATTTGATTCAAAAATCTTTCGAGAAACTCGTCGAACAACTGCTTAAGCCTCCGATCGCCGTCGATTTGACGACGACGCCGACATTCGCGATCCTTCTCGAGAGCGAACGATGATTCCTCCACAGACGCGTTCAAAAATCCTGCCATTGATTAAACCCTAAAAACAAGTCGCATAAATATCTCACACACAAGTCACAACGCGAATGAAATCAAAAGGCACCAAAACCCTTCCAAACATCGACGGATTTGAAAAGTGGATCGAACACCATGTAAGTATGAACATTTGGGAATCTATTAAGCAACATGGAATTTGAATTGTCCCTTTTGGCGGGCCAAAAAAACCAAAATTTTCAAGTCCCGCTCTTTTTTCTCTCCAAGAAAACAGTGGCTTTCGATGTAAGAGAGAGAGAGTGTGTGTGTGTAGGAGAGAGAAAGAAATGATAATAAATCAAGAAAATGGAATTCCTTGGGGCCACTGCCCACTGGGGACACAGCGAAGACGAGACTTACCCACAGTAATTGAGAGATTTGCAGGGCAATCAGGGTTGACTGTTCTACTCCTTCGATGAAAGTTAGGACAAATCAATGTCAATTTCGCCCAAATGGATTTGGGGAATGTTCCTGAGGGCAAAGGCGAGCGCTTTTCGGGCCAAATCAAAAAATCTACAAACAAAAAAACTGAAATGGGGAAAGAGGAACCGCAAATGGAATTTTTGGGATTGGTTTTTGAAAGGGTCACACTACTTGCTTATTATAATTGGGGTATTTAGGTTAACCATGGTTAATTTACTGGGTTATGGAGTTGGTTCAGAGTTAAAAGTAGGAGTACTTTTGGCTATTTTGAATTTGATTTTGTATTATCTATTACCTCGTTCAAAATTATAAAAAAAATATATATAGAAAGTGCTTTAGAAAGAATGATCGGATGACTGTAGAAGTAAATTTTATTTAAAAATTATTAAAAAAAGCGACGGCAAATTTTCACATCATAAATATATATATTTGTTTTTTTTAAATAAAAATTCAATTGTTTATTTCTTAATTAAAATATATAATTTTTTATTATAAAATCACGTTAAAATAATATTAAAATCAAAATTCAAATTACAATTTTAATTTCAAATCCAAATCAAACCGTTGGGAGGAGTTAAACAGAAGCAACAATAGTAAAATAAAAAAAAAAAAAAATGACTATTGTTAAAATAATTATTATAACAAGTTTAACGGATAAAATTTTGAAATCAAAATCTAAATTGAAAAACAAGTGTAAATGAAGTAAATAAATCTTTATTAGAAAAAAGAAATAGAAAAAAAAAAACACAAGTAAAAGTCAACATACAATTTGTGACTCAAAAGTTTTAAGTTAGTCCTTATCGATCAAGAGCAATAATAATAATAATAATAAACAGTGTGAGGCCGACGATGACAAACGGACACTTATCGGAGATGACCAGGTCTTCAAAAGCAATGATGAACTTGCACTTCCACCCGGTCCGATTACACGAAAAAAAGCCAAGAATTTTCAAACTAATGTTATGACATTAGTTCTACATTTGGAAAAGAAGAACATGCATAAAGTGGAAGTATAAAAGTCAATGCGAAAAGTCTTGTCAACATCGGAGTAACTTCATGATCTATGTACTTCATTCCCTCGAAGACCACAATTTATAACACCTATGGGAGTTGCTACTCACAACATTATCCCATATGAGATAAGAAGTGTTCTACTTTATTTAATAAGGTGAGCTTTTTTAATCTAATTAATTGGACCTATTTTAGTTATTTAACTAATTGGGCCTTATTTTTATTCTTAAGTTAGTGGACTTTAAATAATGTGCATTTATTGTCCCACATTGGTTATAGAATATTTTGTCAATCTAGTCTTCCCTATAAATACGACACTCTCATTGGTAAAACACCTTGAAATTTATATCAATTGAAAATTTTCTCCATTATTCCATTATATTGGAATTAGTGTGTGAGTGAGAGTTTTCTCTTGCATACGCGTATTATTATCAAATCGGGTATTCAGATTGATTCCTTGGGCTCGTGGTTTTCGAAACAGACCGGAGAGTCTAGCCATATTGTTCATATGAATTTAGCTTTAAGTTTTAAGTTTTGACTAGTATAGTTTAGCTATATGGGTTGATACCGAATTGATGATGCAACCCAGATAAATAATCTATACTAGTCAAAATTTAATACTTAAAGCTAAATTTTCAAATAAAAACTAAATAAATAAAGAGGGATATTATTGGTGTCCAATTCGTCAATCAATTCAATGTGAACTCAAGAAATCAACCCAAAGACCTAATTTGAGAATAATACGCCCATGCAAGGAAAAAATCCTCACTCACACACTAATTTCAACCTAATGAAACAACGAAGGAAAACTTTAGTTGTTGTAAATTTCAAAGAGTTTTACTAATGAGAGCAAATGTCTTATTTATAGGTGAAGCTAATGTTTGATAAATTAACTGGACTCTACAATGTTACATGCTCTGAAGATAGTCAATACATAAATTGCATCCATCTGAGCATAAATATATGTTGAATCCATCTGAGCATAAATATATGCTGAGTTCAAATAGGAAAATATCTGAAGCTAATGTAATTCTAGCAGCATTGAATCAAGATGCAGAGATTCAATTAGGACATTCTTATGATTTGATGGAAATAGTTGCATGAGGGAAACAAATGTTGGGTTTTTTAAATCAAATCTTGGGAATCAAATGAAGAAGAATCGAGAATAAACATTAAAAGAAGGAAAATCTAGTACTATGTTAAAGTATCAGTCAAAGAACAATAGATAATTCATACTTCTTCTATGAGCTTGAAGTTGATATGGATGAAAGAATTGCAAATATTTTCTGGTCTGATGCTCAAATGAGAATAGATTACACATTTTTTTGTGATTGTATCGCATTTGATAAACTTACCAGACAAACAAGAATAGTAGATTTATTGGTAAGAAAAATTATAAACATTTGTATTTGTATGATTTTTTTACATATTCTAATGCTTTTTCAATGTGTAGGTGTTTTTGTTCGATTTAATCATCATGGACAAACTTATGTATTTGGTGTCACATTATTATATTATGAAATGGAACAATCTTTCTTTTGACTTTTTACGGCATTTATGAAGTTCATGAATGTGAAAATACCAAAAACTATATTTACAGATCAAGACTCAACGATGACCAACAATAAAGAGTGCTATGCCAAACACATCTCATGCATTGTGTACATGACATATATTGCAAAATGAAAAAAATAAAAAATAAATAAATAAATTGTGATGCGTGTACAATTCCAAGCTTGGTTTTCTTGTAAAACAGGTACCTATTTCATTAAATATTTTTTTCACATTGCTAAGTCGATTTTGCTTTTTATATAAACATTTTTTTGAGCATTTTCAAAATCTACTATATAGAGTTCGAGATGAAAATGAATTTTACATTGCATTGTGGAATATGTCTGATATGTGCTTTCGTAATTGATTGCATAAATGAATGGAAGAGATTTCCAATTAAAAGAGCATTGGTCCTCAACATGGACAACAAAATTTTTTACAGCATTAATGAAAAGTACTCAACTTAGTAAATATTCAATAGTTCTTGAAAAACATATTTGATTCACTTTACTTAGTGTAATTTGTCAGGATTGATTAATTATATAATGAGAGCATTAAATACACATATTAAAAGCGCTATATTGTTAATTTTATAGAATGTTTATGTGTTCTTTACTTCTCTGTTTGTGTGCTCTTTTTAAAGAGAATTGATTATGTTAATTTTTACTTTATTCTTATAGTTATTCTTGTCTGCTTTATATTTTTTTAATCTTATTTTATTAATATTTACATATTCTTGCAATCAAATAGGAGCATCGTTAGTTTTTCCATCAAGTTGAAAGGGTTCTTGAAAATATCAGGGAAATAGAAATTCGACAAGATTTTGATGCACGGAAAAAGCGATTGGTGGTAAATCATATGTTTAATCATTTGTTTAAAAATACATCACTTCACGTCAAATAGTTTGTAGATGATTGTTTCATAAGAAGTCATTTGAATACATAGTTAGCTGTGTTGAGGAGGAGAAATGTATCATTTTCAAAGAACTACAAGGCATAATTTAATTCAAGTTTGCATTGAAAATATGAGTATGAAATGCGGTTGTTGGATGTGGGTGTATTGTGGGATTCTTTACTGCCACTGCATTAAACTGATGCATATTCTTGGTGGAACAGGCTATTCATAGTTTCAACAATTTTTAAAAAATTGTATTTTAAATAAATAGACAAAAGATGTAAAGAAAGATGAAGAAGTCATTCTTAGCAGTGTAAATATGGAGCAGCACAATCAGATAACATTTGAAGAAAGACACAAATCTTTGTGCCAATTGTTTTTAAACTCTGCCCGATTACATGCATCTAGCCAGACGTCTTATGATATTTGTTTGGCTAAGTTTGACAAGCTAATCAAGGAGATATATTTCTCTACGGCAGCAACAATGACAACATCAAGGGTTGAAATGAATAATACAATTACCACAAGTTTGACTTAAAAAAAACAATAATAATAATCCAAAAGGCAGAGTCCTAAGAACAATAGCTATAAGTAATTATGAACGACAGAAAAAAGCGAAGGAGAATAGTAAAAAAACAAAACATGAAAACTACACAAGTTAATAGTTTAGTTAATAGTGATGGGACAAAAAACAATGAAGTTGCACAAGAAACTACTTTGTTTAATAATAGTAGGACACTAGATTTATTTTGAGAGTTTATATAGTAATAAGAAATAGTGAGTAAATGTTGGTATATTCATAATATTCAATATTCTTCTTTTTTGTTTTAGTGATAATATCTTTTGCATTTATATAACGTATTTTAAAATTTATACTCTCATTTTTGTCTTAGTCATGCTCTTGGTATTTTTACTAAAAAAAATAATATATTTGTAACGGAGTTTTGTCCCTAAAGTTTACATAATTAACATAATTTCTTTTCTAATATTATTAGTAACGAAAAAAGTAGATTCAGAGACAAAAAAAATTTGTTACAAAAATAATTTTTTCTTGTAGTGTTTAAACTCGTGTTTTTTGTAATATTTCTTAATTTTTTTATTTTGAATTACATACTCTAAATAACATTTTTTTTTTAATTCAAACATTCTCCTGAGTATTTAGACTTTTATAAAAACAAAGCACGGTAATTAAAAATCCAGAGCACAAAGTATATTACTATAAAACACCATAATTGAAAAATATGAGTATGACAACAAGAGCATGAACTATAATTCTATTCTTAGTGTTCTCAAGTGCTTTTGTCTGTAACTGAAATTAGAGACAATGACTATATAGAAATCGAAGCACTAATTATATAGTGCAGAAAGC